CTGCGCAGGCGCCCGGCACCGCCCAGGTGAGCCCCAGTGCGCACGCGCCCCCCTCCCAGGAAAATGGGAGGATTCGGCGCTAGCTTTGGCGTGGAGAGCCATCAGCGCTCGGTTCGGTCAGGGGCCGGGAAAGGCTGCTCAGAAACAAATCTATGTTAAAAATTGAAAAAACGGCTGCGGCTTAGCACCTGGTCTTGAAATGATGCTAGCTCTGTTTATCAACCACAACCCTGCTACTGCAGGAGTAAATCTCTCACCGATAGTGCTACTTTATGCAAAGCAGTGCTATCAAATACAACACAGACACAGTTTAAGAAAGATTTTACTACTCCATTAGTACTTCTGCCACTATTGCAACAGATGTGAAAGGCAAACACTGTTACAGTTTAGAAAAAACAAGTTTTATACAATTAAAATATTAAACAAATCTAAAAAAAAAAAAAAATCAGTGGATGAGTAATAAGCCTGGAATTTCAGATCCAGTATTAGCACCTGCAGTACCACCAAAAGCCAAAACATTTCATCTGTTCTGCATAAGTCATCTTTTATAAATTCTTTAATTCCTTCTATAATTGGACAATGACATCCAAAAGAACCTAAACCAGGACATCCTTGTTTTGATACGGGAAAAGGATAGAAGAGAAAAATATTAAGCCAGCTTGGTTTGTAGGAACTTTACTTTTGCAGGTATTGCTGAGGAATGTTGATCCATGGGTGATACTAAATAATGCACAGTTCTACTTTTCAATAGTATGCCAGCAGATAGAATTAAGATACCATCTTACACAACAGCTAACACTTTGTCAAATCAATGTTTTCCTATAAATTATATACAATAAATCCATAAAGAAACAGTTTTACACTTCACATATTAATCAGAGTAGGGTAGGAATTGTTATGTTTATTGGTTCAGCATCCATTTTATTTTACTTACTGGTTTTATGAATGAATATATCCCCTCTTCTGGTGAGCATTGACAGATGCAATAACAGCACAGATACAGTAGTGGAAAAACCACCAGTATTAAAGTTCAGCTATTCCTCCCCCTTCTAGGAATAACCAACACATTAAAACAAATAACACTTTGCCTTCTGGTTTTCCATAAGAATAGCATAGGAAATGTAAAATGCTCATTGCCTTGAGTCACTTCTGGGCAGACAGAGGCACTGCGTATCCCCTCACTCCCATACTGAGCTGGAGGGAAGGCCTTGTTTCTGGAAAATTCCCCACTCTGACTTGTAGCTTTCCAAAGCCCGATTGATGTAGAAGGGTTTAAGAACTAGGGAGGAGCAGCACTGCACTTATGTGACTAAAACTAGACTTCTGTTGGGCTAAGTGCCCCATTTCTTTCAGAAGAGTATGTAGCTTTACCACTTCTGCTTTTTCTTGAGAGGAAAAAAAGCAACAACCCCCCCCCCCAAAACTAAAAAGTTATCTCATTGCTTTAAAGTTTGCCACAAAATGGATGCTGACCAGCTAGGTCACCCCATGTGGAGCAATTTTAGGAAGTTAGTCCTTGTAGTAGATGGCACTGTGGATCTGGCAGCAGAGAAAGGAATGATGCTCTAAAGTAGGAGGTAGGGGAACTTTGATACAGCAAGTCCACTGTTGAGCTATCTGCTAGAAAAGAAGTTTCATATTATTAGAAACTATTACTAAATAAAACCAACAAAACCCTACACAAACCTTTACATAGCTGTATTTTGTTATCTTAGGAGGTAGCAGGAAAAATAGGGTTACCATGTGCTGTGGTAAGAGTTGCAGGAACAGAAACCAACAATAGATTTCATTTGTCTAACAGGAAATAAAGACCTTTACTACTTTGGGGTTTTTTTTCTGCATAACAGGCATAAATATTTCCAGTCTCTTTTCTGTACACATTGCCAAGAACCTAGGTACTTAGGGATGATAGTCTAAGTCTAAGACAAGCGAGCCAGTTCAAATTTGAGCTTTTCGAAAGCAAAGCTTAATAAAAGTTCAATAGGTATTTTGGAAGCCCAGGGACAGTAGTTTTGCAGTTCTATACTGCATGTAATTAGCATGATCCTTTATTTTAGCCTTTCTCTTTTAAGTAATGTGAGCACTCTTTTCACTTTGTGACTCTGCCACACAGCACAATGAAAACTAAGTGCCTTTCAGCAACTTTTTCCAGTTAAAACTACCGAAGCTAGAGGTTGCTGGCCACTCTTAACGGAAAACATCACAAATAAAAATACCGAAGTGAGAACTGGAACAGCATCCAGCTGAAAAACTACAATTAAAAGTTTCTGTATGCTAGAATACGCTCAGGGACAGAGTAATGCAAAGATTTTTCCACTTAAAACTACTGGGTAGGATAAGACCTCAAATACAGTAGCAGATCTCGGAGTTCCTCTGCATTTACACAGATGTTGCAGAGACCATTAGAAGTCCCAAGATATGCCACCTATTCCTAGCCAGTCATATCCTCTACCACTATATAGGATAGAAAGACAGTCCACATTTTGCAGAGCTCATGTAGGCTGCATTCATGAACAAATCCAGGACAGTGTGCAGGCTCCAAATGACTAGAAGATGAATACCTAATAGAGCTCCAGTTCCAGATCAGGCTTACTTGGGTGTTCATACTGCTTTCAAAACAGCTGTTTACTGACCACAAATATTTGCAATTTATCAAACTATTCAGAACTTCATGATACAAGTCTCTTAATTTTAGAAATTTCACTTGTTTGAACACTGAGAGAACTAGCTTTTATGTAATTGCTCAAAAACCACATCACAAAGGAAAACATTCTGCAATAATTGCTGTGAAATAAGTCATGACAAATGGCTGGTGCCAAATATGTGGAGATGCAGTTGACAAAACACAAACTTATTGCAACAGCAGAACACAAGTGCCATGCAACACAACAAATTCCCAAGTGCTAATAACCAGATGAAGAAGGATATTTTGAGACAGAATTGGCATCTAAAAGCGAAGCCAAATTACAAGTCAGAGTTGTTTAGAAACAGGTTTGCATCAGCAAGAATCTTCACCATTTTTCTTTACCCAAACTTCTTGTCATGGTTTGCTCCAACTTGTAGTAGATTAATCTGGTTTATATGCACTGTAAATATGGGTCAATCATAAGCAGACTACCAAAAGAGAAATCCTAGAGACATGTAGCAGAGGCAGGTTACAAAAAGCACTGAAATAATTTAGTAATACTACTCTAAGATTCAGGGCAGCAGATAAGATATTCTGTATTTAAGAGCATCTTATCAAATGTTTCTGAGCAGAAGAGGTTTTGAAGAATCCCACCACTTGGCACATGAAACCAAAGCGTCACCCCAGGCAACAATAGTTCACTGTTCAGCCTCTTCTGGAACAGAAAAGCTGACATTCAACAGTACATAGAAGTTAATCTTCTATATATTTAGAACCAAGAAGGTAAAATGTAATTGCTCACATTGATTCATTCAGGATTCTGGGGCTAATAATATTGACTTCTAGGCAAAATACAAGGGGTCCTTGATTTCACAAGTGCTTAAAACACAGAAGCTTTTAAAATAGACTCTGGCCTGAGTTACCACAGAAAACATTCAAAAGGAAAAGCTGTATCTTTCACAGCAGTATAGGAACAGCAGGTGCTAGTATTAACGATTTTTCTTTAGTATTTCTCTAATCTATTAGCATGAAAACTGTTTGGAAATCCAAAATAAGGATTTAAATAGTGACCTATTTTGAAGTCTAGATGTAAGGGTTAGTCTTAAGTTTGTCTGCTTGGAACCTTATGACAGAAAGGCTTAATGAGAACAAAAAAAGATCCTTTTATCTACAGAACAGAGTACAGTTTTGGACATAATACAGCACAAGTTAGGTTTATGCATATTTACACAATCAAGACCTGAATTTCCCTAAAGGTAAATCTGGAATCATCTAATCTGTATTAATATTCAGTGGCATAATGCCAAGTATTGAAATTTCTACTTATTCAGAAAAGCTAGTCCACACAAGATTTATGTGAACAGCCTTTGATTAACATACAGTGGAAGGATAAATATTCTGCCTCAGTATGACAGAATTTACCCCTTTGAGCATAGAAAACAGGTTGAGATTAACCATAAAAGGTTAACACGTACATGACACTCCACAGTTTTATCTTCCACTGGTCATACCTCTGTCTTCATAAATGGTAATTTCAATCTGCACAGAAAAGCTGTTAGGGAAGCACACTATAAAACGATTATGGAAACAAACAAACAAACAAAAAAAGGCAGAAAACCATTAAGATATTAGAACCTTTGATGTTCCTTCTTCATACCTGCTGTTTCAAGGCTAGTTTCAGAGCTACAAAGCAAACGTAACAGTACACAGAAGAGATGCCCTGTCAGATCAGATCAGTGGATAGACCAGCCCAGGACTATTTTGACAACAAGAACACAAGATTCTGTGCATGGAGTGTTTGTAAGGCTTGCCATCTTCTGTTAAGTTTCAGGAAAAGCTATGTACTAGACAAAAGTTAACACTTCTACAGTTCAGCTACTAAGTCACTAACCAAACTGAAAACACTTTTACTCAAGTTGAATGTTTTTTCCCCAGGAGGTACATGCACAGAAAAATGCAGAAAACCCATTGAGAATAATGAAGTCATGTAGGTGACAGCTATAGGCTATTTTGAGAAATACAGAGATAACCAAACTGCAAGGAATTAGACTTAGCATGCATTTAATTGGCATTCTGTGTTTCAAGTTGCTCCGGTTTCAATATTCTCAAAAAATGAGTGTGTTATTCTACCCCTAGATTTGCTATGCAAGGTCTTTACAACTTCTAAGGTAATAACTAGATGAAATACCTGCAGCATGGTTCAAGAGTTGAAGAAAAAACCTTGAAATAAGCCATGCTAGAACCAAGAACAAGTGCTAGGCTGGTATCAACTTAGAGTGATGTCATGACAAAATCTTCAAAAGAACCTGAGCTGAGAGCTGCAAATTAAAAACCAGCCATCTCTTGCTTTCACGCCACCAATTTGTATCCTACCAAGTTGGTCACTTTTTTTCCAAGCAGACAAACCGTATTTTTAGAGGTCACTGAAATAGAGTAAGCATCTAAAGTGTTGGAAGTACTCTGTTTATACATACTGCATTTGCAAGGAACTCTCAAAGTACAGATTCCAATATTGCATTTTCATTGTCTTTCAATGTGACAAATCTTAATGTACTAAAATCTGATCAGAGAACAGTACACAACAGAGAGTAACAAGACTAATTACATATTCTGCCATATCACAGATCAAGCATGACCAGAGGGTGCCACACTGAGATAAACAGGTAGCATATCATAGATGGACAAACCAGGAGACAATCTAAGAAACCACAAAAGGATACAACTCTTAGTCCTCTTTCAATGGGGTCTGTCAGAAGGAGGCCCTGAGGAGCATAGATCTTCTCATTCTGTTCCTGAATGAACTTGGCAATTTTCTTTAGAACCTGGTAATAGAACAACACAGAAGTCACAGTTCCTTAATCGAGTTTCCCTACATTAGAGTTAGAGCCCCAGCAGTATCACAGATATAGTAATATTAGGAGAACCTAGCACACAACTAGAGACAGAACTTGTGTGATTACTCTGAAGTACAAGCAATCATTACGTTACTCAAATCGACTAATATAGATAAGTCTGTCTAATGTATATATAAAAATCAGTCCACAGTAAGATCTAGAATCTATATGCAATTTGTATTACAATGGTGCAAGTCACGGAAAACCTACAAAGAAATAAGTCTTTGACTGAAGACTATGAGACACACTGCCTTCCAAGTAACAAGGTAAACAAAAGAAGGGCACCTTTTCGTAATGTGTTTCCATGCACAAGAAGATGGTATAGGCAGTCAGACAGGCAAGACACCCTTCAAGGTAAGATTGGCCCCCAAGTTTTTCAGCTTCTGCATAGAGGTTATTCAGTGTTCGAACAGTCTCTTCAAACTGCTGCCTATCAATCTGCAAGAGAAGTCAAGTATAGCTGTCATGCCCTGCACGTATCAGAACTCACTGATATCTTCAGATATCTACTTTCATTTATTGCTTATTTTCACTTCCGCACTTTGCAGCCACTGTGTTTAGGGCCAAAGTCTGAAGGACACTTTGAATTAGAGACCTGTAGCTCTTCGTTAAATATCTACCAAGTGATTAGACCAAGTCTGAATTCCAACACAATATGAACACAAAAGAATTAAGAGTAACATAACTGTCACCATCACTGGAAGTGGTCAAAAAACATGTGGACGTGGCACTTCAGCATATGGTTTAGTGGGCATGGTGGTGTTGGGTTGACGATCTTAAAGGTCTTTTCCAACCTTAATGATTCTGTGAACTAAACCAATGTGCAATTCAATTGGATTTAAAAAAAAAAAAGCTTAGTTTACACACAAAGAGATTTGCTAGATTAAAAAAAGCAGTTAGGAAGTGCATTGACAGAGCTACCTCTTAATACCAATAATGCCTTGCTGCTGCTGCAGTGCTGATCAAACAAGCTCTTGACAAAACAATACAAAACAAAACAAAGAAATGAGGAAGAGAAGTGCAGTGAGAAAAAGAAAAGGCATTAGCAAGGAGTGTTTGTTTTGCTATCAGTTGAAGATATTGCATCTGACAGCATTAAACAAAATGAAAGTACTTGAGACAGTACTTGTGAGGCTACTGAACAGGCTCAGCAGAACTGGTTGGACTCCACAAGAGAGGACAGCGTTAATGCATGACAGTACAACAACGCACGCTTTGTTCTCACAGACATAATGAACGCATTCTATTTTACTGTTACAAAAGACAGCTGCCTTCCTCAGGCTTAAAGAAAGCACAAAACAACCACATTTCAAAAACACCGAAGTGAAGCTTTTTAACTATTTTTCATGCGGCCTCTCACTGCAAATTAAAAGTATTTGCTTACCGCAATTGATCAAAAATGCCATTTGGACAATAAAGAACGCTTTTATGGCAAAAAATAAACAATATCCAAAGCAGGATAGGCCTTTAAACTTTCCAATTATGCCTCTCTCACACCATGCATAGGGCCGTAACAAAAAGAGATGATTAGAAAACTGCTAGCTGCCTTAAAGACAGATATGAGACCTTTAGCATAGCACCCTTGGGGCGCACCGGAGGGAGAACTGTTTCCAGTACACAGACACGGGGGGAGAAACCTCACTTCCCTCCTACACTTAAAGGACAACCTTAGGTAAAGGAGCGGAGGGTTGTGCAAGAGACCTACCACGTGCTCCAAAAAGACTTGGAGCTTACAGCCACGCGAGTCTGTCACGTCACTCGTCAACGCGACCCGGGCGCTGACCGGTCCCCGTCCGCACGCCCTTACACCTAACGGCCCGCAGGCCTACGTGGGGTCCAGCTCTTCCCCGCCGCCTCGAACGCGCCACTGCCGCCGCGCACAGTGCGAGCTGCGA